CTCACGCTGCTCTCTTGTAACATGTTCTTCACATTAATATACCCCGGCTTAAGACAAAAGACGATCGGGGCACCCCTCCTTCCACCTCTCCTTCCACCTCTCCTCCTCGGACTCTTTTCTTCGGCAAACCCCGCACGTCCGACGGGCCAACGTATATTTTCGTTAAGTTGACGCCGCCGAGAAGTCCCTTAAATTGGGGATTTTTCTTGGCCATCCCAGCCCCCCGCCACCCTATTCCACTTTTCACGCAGATGCACACACTGTCGTCCACCTATCATACTCATACCATACATACTAACACGTGCCCTAACCGCTGGTATCGGCCTCAAGGCGCATCTCGTACTTGAGATTCTTTCACGCGAATCTCTACCTAACGACGGCTTGGGTAACTTGTGCTTTCTTTTAAGAGCTTTTTTTTTCTTACACCAATCATTTATTCCGAAGGTTTCTTCGTTTTATATTTTTTCGTTCTCTTTTTTTCTTTCTGTTTATCTTACATACGTATGGCTATACCGATTTTCAAAATGTCATTTAGTAATTAACACCTGACGTGCGAAGTGACCCGTTACGTCACTGCATCGATGCTGCCTATACATTTGCATGTCCGCTGTGATTCGTTTCTTTTCGAAAATAAATTATTTCTCGGCAACGTCCCGTAAATCAGTAATGACTCCATGACGCGGTATCTTACCGTAGCTCGTTTGCATGTTTAACCTCGTGGCGTAAACGTGTGCTCTTTGGCTCTCGCATAAACCGCGTAGATGAGTTATCGTGTTTTTGTTTTATTTCATTTTTCCTCTTTTTTTCCACAATCGTGTCTCGGTCCAGATCCACTTTCGCGCAAGAGGTCATTGAAAATTTGTCTTTACACGCTCGCTGAGATGATACGCTCGATCGCAAGGTCTGACCTTTAGATCGTTCAGTCTCTAATTATAAGCCGTCGTATCGCGGTTGCGTTCGTCCTGTGTCCGCGGGTATCTGTAGTCGGTCCGGGAATTCTTTTTCTTATCACTACGTAAGATGTTTGTCCAAAAGTATGGATACGCATGGTTTCTCACTAAATATATATTGTCTTTCATTCTTAGTATATATTCACATTATTTTACGTAAAGACCACCTGTCACTCGCTGTGGATTGCGTCGCTCGCGTAAATGTCAAAAAAAGGACGCGGAACTCGTGAATCGACTATACGCACAAGCACTGTACAGTAGTAGCTGCGGGGAGAAGTCCGTAGAAAGGCAGCGCGGACGATTGCCCGATCTTCGGGCCGAATCACTTTTTGAACTTTTACAATCGGATTATTGATCCGCCTTACAATCATTCGGCACGACCAGCTGGTATCCTTCGCTGGAATAATTTCACTTTTCACTTGGATCCCCTTAGCCGCGTCATTGCAACGTTATGCTTGTCATTGAAAATGGGACGCAATCGCTTGTGTCACTTGGTCTTAACTTTGGCCCAGATCGTGCTGTCGGCTTTGCCGATATCAATGCGCGAACGATTAAGGCGCATCGGGGCTTGATGTGTAGCAATTTTTCAGGACCAGTTTCTCACGGTGAGTCATCCGCTGGATCTGGTTTTTATTTCCAGTTGAACGACCTCATTTGCCTAAGGGCACTTGGGGACGATCGTTAATTGACCTCTCTTGCTATTCCGCTTTAATAAAATTTCATAATCGTGGGACAGTGGCGATTTTCCTATCGACTTATCTCCTCCGCCACCATTGGTCAACCGCGAGAAGAGTTTTCACGGCGTCCCCCCTGAACCCGCTATCGTGCGTTTAGCCACGTTGCCGTCGACCGGCGTCGTTCCGTAGACCCTCGCCGTACCCCTCCGCTTTTATGAGAATCCGCCCGTAAGGCTCGAAGTTTCGCGACAAAACTTTAACGTTAATTACCGCCAAGCTTTCCCGCAAAGACCCCGTTGTCGACGTGCCAGTATTAACAGCTGCGCAAGTGTTGAGCGCGCCGGATCAAAGACGGCGGATCTTTTCGGAAAAATTTTCTGCCCCGTCGGTACGTCATACCCCTGTTGTACCGACGTCCGTCCTGTACGTCACTCTCGCGCATAGTTTCACTCAACCCGGCTAACCGGTCGTAAAAAGATTGAAAGTGAATATATCTTCTTTGTTTTTTAAACAGAATTCTGCCACTCGACAATCGACATTTTTTTCAGCTATTCGTTTGTCTTTTATATGAATTTTTTTTTCGGATATGTTTAACTGGCGATCGCTGAATTCTTGCAGAAATCGAGAGTTAAAAAGACTATTCGGTCGCCAACCGGTAAATTCTGTATCCGAGCGCATGTTTAGCCTTATGTTCTCTTCATTGTTTTAAGATAGAATGCTCGGATTTACGTGACTTTGTTTAATTGTTAAACTTCAATCATACACGCAATTCGAGCCCTTTGTCTTATTTAGGAGCGGAGACTCGAACCGGCATACCCAGAACTTCCGATGGGAGAACTCTTTGGGAGTTCCAGTGTTAATGAGATAAGGTCTCGAATATACACATATGTTATATCTATATGTATATATAGTATATACACACACAATAAGCAAGTGTGACAATGTGACAGAAACAAGAGAGAGGAAAGAATTCTCTTATCTGTTATGAGTCGTATGGTAAACACGGCCTACATTTATCGCATGAAAAAAAAATATCCTGCGGTAAAATAGGGCTGCGGCTTAACCACAAGTAGATTCCTGAAATTTATCTTTCGCATAGAATCATCCTGGCGCGTGCGCATCCGCCATTTTCGTACGTCCGTATATCCACGTTTTAACAATTCTTCGAGCATAGACAAAAGAAAACAGTGTTTTGTCCAAGCATGAGCACGTACTTTGGCCGCGGAAGGATCGCAGAGTCGACTTAGCCAGGAAATCCCGTGTAAAACTCAGCCGGAATAGCCAAGTCGTAGCGAGGACACGGATAGCCACGAATTTGAACTTAATATTTCGCGCTCGTCAACTTCTCGCTGCCATATTGTAATTTGTAAAAGCGGCAACGTCGAGCACGTGCGATTTTACGATCAGCGTTCTCAAATCACATCGATTATGGTATCTATATCGACGGCGTCTTTTGGTCGCGCGATTATTTACCAAGGTCACCATGCGGGTTCGACGCTCCGCCGGGTTCTGTACTAGTAAATAATTTTTTTCATCAAGTTTTGATTTTCTCATTCATTACAATGCATGTCGATTTACGCGAAACATCTTTGCGCGGACGTTTCGCTCGTGCGATAAGGACCTGTAAATCAGAACAAGTAGGTTGACGTAAGTTACTACGAATACTGACTTGCCTTTCCGTTATAGAGGTTATTGTGTGGAGCGTACGCCATATTTGGCTCGGTTTAAAATTTTATCACGACCTCTTTCCCATCTTTCTCTCCTCGGGTAATATTTTGTATATGCAGAAGCCTAAGAGGCAGTTTGCCGGTCGCGGCCGGCGGGTCTGTAGATACTGGGAAGTGACGACCATTAATGCAAATATTTAGCTCTACTTTTCAGTTAGGATTAATAAACTCGGTCTGATGTCGATATCCTCATCAAGTCCAGATACGATCTTACGTAAGATATACATACTGCGTTAACTACGCCGGCCGTTTTATGGTACCCCGAAGGTAAACGCTGCTGCTGTATCCATACGTGCCATGTCTATTCAACGTGGAATCCAGTGCGGGAGTCCTTAAGATTCCTGCGAAATAATCCATACGAATCGGCTGACCCGCGTTAAGCCGTATTTATCGTTAGAATTCACGTATTGTTATTCCGTTTACGCGGCGGATGTTACCGACTGCAGGAACTCCCGCCGGTCGCATGGCGAAATAAGATATCTTGCGAGAGCATACGAAATTCGAAACTCCCGCCGTTTTCTGCAAGGTTTAGTAGCTGCTTAGTTTTTTATTGTCATGAAGGAATATTATAACGTATAGAAATTACGTGTCGCAGTGACCTTGATGTATACGAAGAAGGTTGATGGACGTTAGAAAATTTATTAAAAAAAAACCTCATTTCTCACCGGTGATTCGGATGGAGAAAATTTTTGAATTTTGGAAATACATTTTTTTAACTCGGTCAAAGGATCTTTACATACTCGGACTGCCGGTTCTTATGATTTATCGTACTGCGAAACAGCTTGGTTATAGGTTATATACACATTCGGCTGTGGGTGCTATTTATAAGATTTTTGTAGATGACTCAAAATCGAGAGATAAATATTAATGAGTCATCGGATAGTCTAAGATTTTTCCTTTTTTACTTGTACGTGAATAATTTAGCGATATGTGGATCGGGTATGGGAGAGATATTTTTTTTTTTTTTTTTTTTTTTTTTTTTTTT